GGCGTCAGAGCCATAACAGCAAAAGGCTGCCGCAGAATAGATGGGGGTGGGGTCAGGCTTGCAGATAAATAACTGTAGTGGCAGGGTCTGGGGAAGACCGTCAGGTTGTTATGCTAGTAATAACTCAGGAGTTTGGGGGTCGAAAGAAAGAAAGGAAAGGCGGGGGGCGAGGGTCTGTTAAAGCTGGGAGGAAGGATTAAGCAAAGCCTGTCTGGGAATGCGCCGCGCAGATTGCCTTTAACCGTTTCCTTCCCCTTTCCATGCAAGGGCGGGAGCTGCTGGGCCGTGTGATCCACCGAATCCAAGTCGGATCCTCCCCTTTCCTCTCGGTCTCTACACCGCAGACTCCGAGCGGCGCAGATCGAGCTAAATCCTGAGCCTACACCCACTTGTCCCTCTCCCCGCCCTCCAGGTGACTGGGGGCACCCAGACCTCCAAAGAAAGGACTTCCTATAGGAAAAGCGGGGGGGGGAACAGGGGGTGACTCTGGGCTTGTTATGTTTTTTTTTTTTTTTTCCCCCTCAGATGCATTCCAGTTGCCAGTAGCCTGAACTTTCGCGTTTCGACAACAATAACACTAGAAACCCTTTAGAAAGAAGGAAGTCTTTTCCTGTTGCAAAGTTAGTTTGGAATTTTGCGCCCTGTCTTTCCAACTTGACGCTTTGCAGCCAAAGGAATCCTAATAAAGTATGGTTTGGGTTTTTGTCCGGGGCAAGAATATATATAAGAAGTTAGAAATTTGTAAAATGAAATTTAAACTTTAATTTAGAAAAAAAATGATCACACGTACTGCGTTCAGATAATCACCTAAGCTATTCACTCAGCTAATTTTTGTGGTGGCTTGCATCGCTTCGTTCAAAGAAACAATAAAGTGACTATGAATCAGGTCAGTATTTTTCCTCTTTAAGAGAACCAGCTTAGAAAATATGAATTGGGTCCAAACAATGCAAATACAGGGCATATATCTTTATGCCAGAGACCCCTTCAAACTTCAAACTTTCTGAGCCCAGAGACAGTCCAGGTATGAGTAAACACTGCCCTCTGCTGTTCTCTGTCAGTCTTGCAGCTTTTGTTGCCTGGTTTCTAACTTAAAATTAAATGCAGACTAGCAGGATCTGGTTACAAGGCTAATTTCTCCTTCTTGCCTAGGGATAGTGGCAAAGAAAAAGATCTTTAAGACTCTCCTAGTGCCTTTCTTTATCTCAGGTAAAAAAAATATCGAAAGCAATAGGGCAGACAGCAAATTCAAGTCCTGCTAATGGAGACAGTCTGTAATCCCAAACTGATTTATGGAAACCTGAATTCTAAAGCTCTCACCAATTCTTTTGTGTAGGTTAGAACACACTCAGTTCTGCATATATTCCTCTACTGTAATGTAATGCGTGAACTGGAAACAGGCAAGAAAGTTAAATTTAACTATTTGTGTATTTGTAAGATTTGAAAACTATTAAAAGCATTGGGCTCTAGTTTAATTTTAAAAAAATTTTAAGCCTTTCCTCAAAAATCATAACTCTGCCAACACGTTACAGTATTAATACCATTATTGATTTAATGTAGCCAAAAGAGATTTGTAGATTAATGAAAATAAAATCAATTATTCTTATTTTTCACAAATTATGGACATGATACGTGAATTTTAGAGAATGCTTTATTTTTAACTACATTTGTTAGTTGGCTGATAACACCATAATTCAATCATTCAGACAGGAAGAAATAGAAGGAAGTCCTGTAAATGCTTGTTGTAGGTGATTATGGATTATGGATTTTGCCGGCTGTATTTTTTTTTTTTTGGAGGCCCTGTGGCTATCTTCACACTTAGTATTAAGTTTGTATATTTATGAATACATTTAATTTGGGAGAACAGGAGAAAATCATTCATTCTGTAAAATGGGGAGTGTTCAATCTGTAAAAATGTAATATTTAAAATTTTACAAATAAGATATGGCAAAATAATACAGAAAATGTGAAATGTGGATTATTCAGTCGGTCGTTTTTTGGACAATTTCAAAAGAGGATTATCAAAAATCATTTAAGTAATCGTACGAATACTTGAATAAGTAGAAGCTTTCTATGATGAATTTTTTAAAATTAATACATCCTTTTATGAGTAAAACCCGCACATTAAAGTGCAATCTGTTTAAATAGATATACATAATTTAAGGTACACATAGAGAATGATTTTTTTTTTTGGGGGGGAGAGGTTTTTGCTATAGGACATGTGCGCTTGCCAAACTGACAGAGAGAGACAGAGAGACAGAAAGCGAGAAATCCCCCAGGGGGGATAGTCACACCGCAATCCCTTCTCCTCCATTCTCCTCTCCGGATCTTGGGCATGCATGCACACGTGCCTGGCATGAGTTTTAAGCCACCAGGTCCGGGACACAAACCGCAATCGACTACATGGGAGTCCAGTGACATAGCATTATGCTAACTGCTGGTCCCAAGAATGATTTTCATAAAATACAGAGGAGGAAGCCTTTGTTCTATTTCTTATTTTTCCCCCTTGGGTTTCAAAAATTGTGGCAATATAATGCATGATAAAAGTAAGAATGTGTTCCCAAAAAATAAAATGCAAGAAAGTAAAAGCATAGAGAAATCATTGTATGCATGAAATATTAAAACAACCACCACTTCTGGAATTCATTAATAGATAGCTATTACAATGAAACACATTCACAGATAACTATTCTAAGGGTCATTTCTCATGTACATTTTACTTTCTTCTTCTTCTTTCTTTCTTTCTTTTTTTTTTTTTTTTTTGCCTTTTGAGAGGCTTTTGCTATAGGGCACATGTTCTTGCTGGCAAAACAGAGACAGAGAGACCGAAAGCGAGAAATTACCCCCTGTGGGGATGGCCATTCTACAATCCCTTCTCCTCCGTTCTCCTGGGATCTTGGGCACGCATACACATGCACCCAGCATAAGATTGCAGCTGCTAGGTCCAGGACTTGAACCATGGCCAGCCATGTGGGAGTCCACTGACGTAACTGCTATGCCATCTGCTGTCCCATGAACATTTTCCTGAATAACTGCCTTTCAAAAGCAAATAAGTTTATTTTTGCTTTATCACCAAAAGCTTAATTATTTTTTGAAAAGGATTGTTTGGTCAAAGTTTTTAATAAAGATAGATGTTTCTAAGGAAGAAGATACCAATTTTAATAGGCTGTGAGGATATATTTTTATGTCCAGGCATGAAAGAAACCAGAGAATACAGCTCATTTGAACTTGAGAACATATGTAAAAACGAATCCCTTATAACCGTTTGTTATGATCAGTATACATTTGTCATCATTATCTGACGAAATGCCTGAATTACTTTTCCCTCTTTTAGCCCCCAGCCCCTTCCCTTCCTGCCCCAGGCTACTCTGAC